CTATTTGTCACACAACTTTTTAATTTTGCCTCAGATTACACTGACAAATAGAGCACTCATCTGAAACATATCTGAAATGAAAATATGCTATTAATGCTTTGTTTCGAATGAATACAATTTTCAGTTGTGCTATGGGCTTTTTAAAAATATAAAATTATACAAACTTCATTATACGAGCTTAGATTTATTGTTGTATGCATTGTAAAGCAATATTAAGCCTCAATGTCATTTTTGCCGATAACCATTTGTAATTCTTTACTATAAGCAAATGCATCGGCCAGGAACCACAGGAACTCTTCATTTAGTTTCTTGATTTTTGCCTGGAACACCAATAAATAAGAAAAAACATCTTCGGCTGGATTTATAAGAAGTACTTTTAAGTCACTGTAATTTTTTTTAATTCGAGAAAGTATTCAGATGACTTATTTTCAATCTCAGCTTTGGATATGGGTGTCGTGCAATTCTAACATTTATTTTCTTTTATTAACGTTTTTAAAATCGAAAAGACAATAACATATCTCTCTGCTTGAATTTCAATGGCGTTTGCTTTAACCATGTCTATTTCATCCAAAAATGAAACCATTTTGCCATTTTCCTCTTTGTCACACTCAAATTTTGATATTTTTATTTTAATGGAATTTGCACGCTCTTTCACAGAGGGATGACTATTACTAGTCTAATCTCTTAATCTAGGGAATTTTCAAGTGCTTCCTGGCTCAATTTCCCTGGAAGAATGCAGTTGTCATCGTCACACTCCTTGAATATTTCCTCCGCCAGGACTAAAATAGCTTTTATAATCTGAACCATTCCCCTGATGCACTTGATGTTGGCTTTGTGTTGAATGGAGTTAAGAAAATGTATGGCACTGTTTAGATTTTCTATTTTTCGGTGAGAACGATTTTTAGCATCCATTTGGGCGAAAATGAGGTTGACAGAACAGAGGAATTCACTGGTGGGTTTTGCTGCGGGTGGAAGGTGTGTATTTTGAATTAGGGTCCCTATGGCATATGCTAGGGTGTTGCTGAATATATGAATGGCGCTTGCAACATTAATTTTATACCAGGTGAATAAATATATATGTCTGTCAGTCAACTTTGGACATATCTTCACGTTAAAATTGCGTTTGTCATTCTCGAATACAGCTTCAATCGGTTCCTTTCGTATTTCTTTTCCGATTATTCTTCATTGAATTAAATAGATGTGTATGTATATGGCAATTGCACATGCATTAAATGGTAGTTCAATAAGAACGCAATCTTCTTGTTTTTATGAACAAAACTTACGTTCCAAGTTAAGGAGGTTATTCAAATTTTGGTTTCCAGCACCTTGGTCGCGCACAATTGCTAGCACGTCAAATCCGAGATCCTGCAGCATATCAATATTTGCATATAAAACTCTTTTTAGGGTTGAACCACTTGCAGACCTGCTTAGAGCATAAAAGCTAGTAACGTATTTCCAGTTACTGCAGAAGCCTTTTACTATAAATACTAGAGCCATCGAATTGAAATAAAAATATTTTCGCAAAAAGTTGTGGCACAATCGTGATGTTATATGCACACTTTGTGTAATGTTTTTTTTTTTTTTGCATTGCAGTGTAATTTGTGCTGTTCGTACAAATCATTTTGGAGAAATGAATCGCCTTCTTATCTTCCACATCCTTCAAATAGATAGAATTATGGTGAACTGACTTTAGGGATGTGGTTAATTCCTCAACTTGTTGTATTAATTTCAAATCCATCTTTGTATGCAGGGCTGCGATATTCCTTCTCCATCTTTGCCTGTATTTGGAGACGATCTATATATTTCAATACGTAGAGCCTTATTTCCATTTTGTAAGTACTTTAAGTTTGCAAACACTTCATCAATTGCACATGCATTAAATTTTATCGTCCACCAACCTTATTTTACAAATAATGAAGTAAAAAATCTAGCACCTAATGGAGTTTGCTGGCTAAATTGCAAATAATGTTTTAATTCTTGTTTTCGTTTGCTGCTATCTGTAATTTGTAAATTTGTTGGAATCGATTCTATAAGATTGTCAATTTCTGTGCTCTCCATTTTTTTCAGATTCGTTGGTAGCCGCAATATCATATCCGGAGTTTGTTGCTATAAAATATAAAATAGGGCGTTTTTAGTTTTTCCTTATTTAAGAGACAAAATCTAAATCTATTTTAGTGTTAACTTCCACTAAAATAGATTTAGATTTCGTGTCGGACAGATCGTTTTATTCAATTTACAATTATATATATAAAACAAACGCCGTTGAAATTCAAGTAAGGCAGGACAACATGAGGTGAATTACAAAAATTCAGCTATGTAGGCAGTGGCTTCTTCTGTCGTATATAAAAACCAGTAAGGAAAGTAGTAAAGTCGGACTGAGCCGACTATATGATACCCTTCACCACTTTGGGTATATTCGAAAAGACGTCGTCTTTTTGAAGGAATTTTGGCATGAAATTGAACGAACTTAAATATGTGATTTTTATGTCTTTCTGGAAACTATGCTAAATTTCATTTCATTTGGTCAAGTTTAGTCGTTTGCGCACAGTGGCACAGTAAATCGATTTAAAGCAAACTTGACACACGCTATTCGGTATGCGGGACGTTTTAAAATTTTATCTCAATCAGACACCTATTGATTATTTGGTGTACAATTAACATAAATAAGTCGAAATTATATATGGAAGCTACGATATATCTAAATCTGAACCGATTTTTATGAAACTTAGCACACATCATTCTAGACTTAATTTAGTACGCTATACCAAAATTCATCAAATGATTTTCTAAAAGGTTATTTAAATCTAAACCGATTTTGAAACTTAGCACACGCACACATTCCAAAATTCGTGCAAATCAAATGATTTTCAGGGGCATTGGTTCACCATTTACCTAAAATTCGAAACTTTATAGGGAGCTATATACCAATTTTGGTGCAAATCTAGACCTAAATAGATACCAATTTTGGTGCAAAAAAGGACTTTGCTGCACCATTTACCTAAAATCGAGCGAAAATATATATGGGAGCTATATCTAAATCTGATCCGATTTTTACGAAACTTAGCACACATCATTCGAAAATTCGTGCGAATGAAATGATTTCAAGTGGCTTTGGTGCACCATTTACCTAAAACCGGGTGAAACTATATATGGGAGCTATATCTAAATCTGAACCGATTTTCACGAAACTTAGCAAACATCATTTTAGACCTAATTCAACACGCTATACCAAATTTCGTGCAAATCGAAAGATATAAAGGGACTTTGGTACACCATTTACCTAAAACCGGGTGAAACTATATATGGGAGCTATATCTAAATCTGAACCGATTTTCACGAAACTAAGCACACGTCATTCTAGACTTAATTTAATAAGCTTTGCCAAAATTCGTGCAAATCAAATGCTTTTCTGGGGCTTTGGTGCACCATTTACCTAAAATCGGGCGAAACTATATATGGGAGCTATATCTAAAACTGAACCGATTTTCATGAAACTCAGCACACATCATTCTAGACCTAATTTAGTAGGCTATACCAAATTTCGTGCCAATCGAATGATATATAGGGACCGTTTACATTAAATCGAACGAAATTATATATGGGAGCTATATCTAAATCTGAACCGATTTTCTCCAATTTCAATAGGGTTCGTCCTTGGGCCAAATTAGTGACATGTGCTAAATTTCATCCAAATCGGATCATTAATGCGACCTGTACTTTGTTCACAAAAATACATGGACGGACAGACGGACATGCATAAATCGACTCAGAAAGTGATTCTATGCTTATTCTCAAAAGGAACCACGGGTCTAAATCGTGTTACAAACATATGCACAAAGACATAATACCCTGTACCACAGTGTGGTGAAGGGTATAACAAAACATACGCAACAAGTGGTTGTGTTCCTTAGATACTTTTTCAACACCTAAAAGATTACAATTTCAAAACACGAAACAATGTTAATATTTTTTTGGACTTATCACGACTCCTCAACAACACTTGCCAATTTTGGTTCCCTACAAATATATGCAATTCTTTCGTACAAATCCAGTGTTGCATTTTCCATTGACCATGGGATATCATACCATAGTATCGTAAAATAATTTTCGAATTGATAATTCAATTAATTTCCGACTTACCACTGCAATACTTCAAAATCAACACAAGACCCAATCAAAATTTTCTCGTGTAAAGAAACGCCATTTTGTATTGTGTTCTCTTAAATATTGGTTTAAAGATTCAGGAGCATTTTGCAGTAGAATCTTGTAAAAATCATTTCTCATTCCCTTTTTAGTTTTCATTTCTTTTGTTGATTTTAAACAGGATGATAATAAGAACTATCTTTATTAGGAATTAATTGCAATTTTTTGTTAATATTATTCTTTTGTTGTAAAAATAGCATCATTTTCTTAAATACCCCAAACCCCACACAACAATGGCAACACCACACCACAAAAGTGCTGCCAATGCTCCGCATACATAATTTCATAGCAATCAGCTTCTGCACGGGTAGGCAACAAGAAAAAAATCATTTCAGCAGAAAAAAGAATTATTTTGATTCGGTCACATAAAAATGCTCAACAACTACAAAAAAATATAAACAAACGCCAATCAATGGAAAACAAGTGCAAACAAATTACAACAGGATCTAAATAAAAACAATTGAATTGGAAAAGATACAATTGGAAAGTGATGGAATAAAAAAAGAAAAAACGCTGAAAAGAAACTATGATGCCAAAAGGCTTAGGCAGCAGCAAACACACACAACAAAAGACCAAAAGACGATGAAGACCATCTAAAAAAATAAGCTCCGCCAGAAGCAGAAAAAAACTATGTGCAATACGTGAAAAAAACAAGCAATAAAGTGATTGATGCCCAAAAACATTTAAGAAAAAGCTACTTGGAAGACAATTGTCAGAATAAAAAGTGTTTATTTGGCCCAAATTAGGCGTTTTTCTTTTCTTCCTCCTGGACAAAACAGTTCTTAACAAAACGATACCACAAATTCCATTGACTGGCTTTGCAAAGCAATCGAAATTTAATTTTGGGCTTGGACTCTTTAGTTCGTCATGGAAAGTATTTGTAGATTATGTTTCCAACCGGCTGCGGTAAGTAATGTTTTCTTTTATCTATACGCTGAAAAATTAGCTATAAAATTTTTATTCCATATACAAGTTTTTTTCCTTTCCATGGGACGACCAACGGGAGTTGGGTTAAAATAACAATTTGCGCGCGCCTTTTTATTGCCTTTGCAAAAATGTGTATTTTGTTGTTTTTATTGATTTTCGTTCGTTCTTCTTGGCGCTTGCTTTTTTTCCTACTCCCCACCCAGTAGCAGCAGCTAGATTGTGATGATGCTAGGTGTGTGTGTGCATTGTGTGAGCCCCACACACAATCAGAGAAGAATATCAAAGAAATGTTGTTGTTTGGGGATTAGAGTGGTTTGCTGGCTGGCATGGATGGATGCTAGGTACTTGCTTGAGTTTTTCGTAGTCGTCTTCTTCTGCGTGTGTGTGCGTTTTATATTAGAAGTAAGACATTAGAAAATTTCTCAATTTTACAATTGGTGTAGTAGTTTTTGTATATAGACGCCTCAAAATGCCCCCACCACCACCAACAACAACAACAACGGCATTCCAACAGCCACAGTACAGCATCAATACAAACACCCCAAAAAGAGGCGGGGATGTTACAAACTAAAACTCTAATAATAATATGAGGTAGAAGCAGAGGAAGAGTGCTGCCACCAAGTAGGTGAAAACATCAACGTCACAATAATAACAATAATAATATAAGTATTGCCGCTGTTGTTGTTGTTATCGTTGTTTGGAAAAAGGCTTAAAATTTTATACAAGCAATTGTCCACTTTTGCGCGCGTAGTGTCGTTTTCTAAATTACACTCATACTCCCAATTCCAATACACTGTGTGGCACAGTCAAGCACACGCACGTACGTACACACTCGCTCGCAAGTGTTGCTACATTTCGGGTCTTGTTGTTTATGTGGAGTGTTTGTTGCGCTCTCTCTCACCGTGTCTCTTTGGTGGAGAAATGCATTGCAGCTGACGTTAATGTCATCGTCGTCGTTGTCATTAATTTTACTGTCAACTACCCAACATCCATGCATATGAAAGAAATGGTAATCAAGAGAAAAAGAAGAGAGTGCTCTCAATGAGAGACAATCAAATGTTGGAGACTGGGGAACTATGGTTGTATGTAACAAATGTTGTTGTGATGCCACCGCGATGTTTGCTACTGCTGCTATTCCTCTAACATTGCATTGTTATTGTTGATGCCTGGCTCTGCCGCTGCTGCTTCTAATTTCAACTGAATGTCAAATAATTTGTTTTCTTTGAAGGCGTTGTAGCGTCGTGTATGGTTGAGGGGTGGTAGTTGGTTGCGTGTGTGTGTGCGAATTTTACAAAAGGGTTGGCTAAACTCCCGCATTAGTGTTGCTCACTGTTGATGGATTTCTGCAGTAAGTGGCGCTTTTAAACGCTTATAAAAATTTATCGGATTTTCTAGTTTGAAATTTAAAGGTGACGATGAATAATGCGTTGAAAATGAAATCAAACTACTTTTTAAATTTTATATTAAAACTAATCTTAAAAAATCTGAATGTATATCGAATTATATAGTTTTATTACAAATTGCAGTCAATTTTTGTGCATTTGAAACTTCTACATACTCTTGTTTGATTACAATAACATAATCATTAACTGGGAAGATGTGTTCCGGTTACAAGAAATGGTTCAAAATACTATATCTGACAATACATCGTCTAACATTTGGAAAAGGGAATATGATGAGAGATTGAAAGATCTGTGCAACAGCCCATTGGCTACTTCATTGGCTAATTCCGCTTGGTCTACGGCGTGGTAGTCGGCAACAGATGGTCAATAGAACCTGGTTGCACAATCTCGAAAGCCTGAATTCTCTCGCCGAAGAAGTTCTTAAATAATAATAAGAGAGAGGGCGAAATCATTGTGGGGATCATACCAGGTCACAGCAAGATTATATCCCTCACTTCGAAATGGGACTGTCGTCTATGTGAGGACGAAGAGGAACTAGAAACTATTGAACATATCCTCGCATAGTGGCAGAAGACACAGACAGTTTGGAAAATGATGATCACAATGGACAATTGTCTCGGAGTGAATGTTTGTAATTAACAACAAGTACATACTTGTGCGCAAGTCCACCAATTTGGAAGACCACGTTCCAAGATGTTGTTTTCTACTTGGTCTTTCCATCTAATTCGTGGCCTTCCCCTTCTACGGGAACCATCAACATTTTTATATGCCTTTTCGCTGCACAACATGGTAGCCACCGTAGTCGCTGCAGCTCAATACGACACTATGTCGACAGTTTGGAAAATGATGATCACAATCAAACACCCCAAGCGCTGCCTCATCTGCTTGCGCAAGTAATTGATCCATATAATAGCACGGGTAGTATCAGTCCCGTAAAGTGTGTTTGTAATTAACAACAAGTAGCATCTGTTGGCCATCACAATCCTAATTTCAAAACTGATATTACGTTTTATTTATGGCGGAGGTATATAAAGTCTTTAACTATCGAAGCTAGTTCCACAGTTGGTCATAATTATAACAGTCCTTGATATTCGACCTATTATATCGATGTCATCGGTGTAGGCGAGTAATGTGTGTTGTATGACCTTTTCCAGCAGGATGTTAAAAAGATCACACGACAAACTGTCACCTTGTCTGAATCCTCGTTCGGTATTGATGGGCTCCGATAGGTCCTTCCCGACTTTAACTGCTGACCTTGTGCCACTTAAAGTTATACTGCATATTAATTTTGCAGGAATGCCGAACGTGGACATGGCTTTATACACTTCTGAACGGATAGGACTGTCAAATGACCTCACTGTCGTGGAAATAGATTATGTGTCGATGTTTTAGTGTTTTTTTTAGATTTGGCGCATAATCAGACAATCTGGTTTGGATAAAATAATTTTTGCAATACCTCTTGAATTCTCGGTAATTGATTTTTTTTTTCGCTCAGAAATTGACGTTGCTTTTCAGTTCAGAAACTTACTTTAGCAGTGCTTTTTCACAAATTTCCTATGTTTAGAGTAAAAACGTGTTCAGTATATAGAAGGTTCGCTATTATCTATAGGTCACATTTGGGCTGAATGTTTTCGAAATTGTTGGTATATAACCAATGTAGAGCTGGGCAATAGAATTAGCTCAAAAACATTGTTACTTCGATCCATATATTGCCGACTCTTAAATATAGTGACGACTCTTGTATGACCGCATTCGATATTGACTATATTTCCTCGAAATGTCTCATAAAAACTATAGAGAGGAATGGGCTGAATATACCCCGGTGGCCAAAACTAACGCAACGGAAATTGCTAAGATTATAAGTGCCGTATAACTTTTTTAAAAATAGAGATACCGTGTTGGGTTTTCAGTTGTAAATCGGGTACTTATTCAGTTTAAAAAAAAAGGCAAAAGCACAAACGCAAAAGTTATTTTTAAATAAATAGGGTATAGAAAATGAAATTGACTAAATTTTTGCTTGGACAAAACAAAAGAAACTCTACTGTAGCGTACCGTTATAATTACTGTGTTTTGGTTTCAACACCTACTTCGATTCTTATAAATCATTTAAAAAAATTGTAAAACGGTTATCGATGAATATAACCTCAAGAACAGAGCGTGGACGAGCTATGGTTGCAGGACTACATGTCCGGAAACTATCAAGAAAGTTCTTTAAGTTCTGAAAAGAATCTGAAAGCCATTTAATTGCCTTTCGCAAACGCTCATACTAATTGGAAACTGATTCAGTGGAGAAATATTATGCACTCGGATTATTTAAAGACTCAGACATGAAAAAATTACCATGCAAAAGTCCAAAAATGAAAGGCCCGTGACACAGTATTGCAAGGGAACTGGTAAGCATGGAGTAGGGTCAATAATGGTATTGGGTTTTTTTTCTTTTTATGGAATTCGATCAATTTACGATATTTATGAAGTAATGGATCGGATTGTTTATACAAATCTCTTGAAGAAGCTAACCTTTGCTAAAGAAAATATAAGGCTTGGTTGGGTGGTTTAGCTTGACAAAAACCTCAAACATACATCGAAACATGTCAAACATACATCGAAACATGTCAAAGGGTATTATAATGTCCAGCACAATTATCAGATCTTCACCCTTTTGAAAAATCATTGAAACAAAATTAAAAGGGTTTTCCTAAACAAAAAGACATATCCTCTTCCCAAAGGTTCAGGGCGCAAGGAATATGATGGTGGTCGGTACTTTTATTTATTTATTTTATTTCACAATTTCAAAGTCCGAAGACCACATTCACAATCTGTCGATTATATGTATACTCTTAACAACAATAAACAATTAAATCTTTTGTTGACCAAGATTTTGGACGTGAGTCTTGGATCATCATCCTGCTCAAAATTACTTCTTCTACAGGATAGGCTTTCTTATATATAAAAACCTGTGAATATGAGTATGCATCATGTTGCATCAATCCAAAACATTTTATCAGCAATAATGTTTACCTTCAGTTGAATTTGACGCTTGAATTTGGATTCTGACTCTATCACACGTTTCCAGTGGACCATTGTTCAATTTTTGGGCTAGTTGAAAAATGTTTAATATGACCTTATGGTTTCTTCTTCTTATATAGGTAATTTTTTTTTTACTGCTGCTATAATCAATGGGTTCTTTACGCCGACCATCAACTAACGGATATTCGTCGGAATATTCCCCGATTTTAACCCTAACATAATTTTTTGTTTTTTTTAAGGTTTTTGATTTTTAGGCTGTTTTTTGAGTTTTAGTCTATTCTGAGACTTATAGTAAAACATTATGAACATTATGAACATCTGAACAACTTTAATCCCGTTTTGATTGAGTTTTCAATCACTTCTGGAAAAGGGGACCAATAAGACCCCTTCAATGAGTCGGTTTATGGTGAAAATTGTATACAAAAATATACCTCTACATTTTATTAGTAATATTGCCGAAAACACTATGTACCTAAAATGCAAGGATTTCAAGAAATCATAAGTCGAAATTGATCAAAATTTTTGAAAGCGGGAATATTGTCACCCTTT